AAAAAAAAAAAAAAAAAAATCTGCGATAAGAATTGTAAGAATTAGAAAGTCTAGGCTGGGCACAGTGGCTCATGCCTGTAATCCCAGAACTTTGGGAGGTCGAGGCGGGTGGATGACCTGAGGTCAACAGTTTGAGACCAGCCTGGTCAACATGGTGAAACCCTGTCTCTACTAAAAATACAAAATATTAGCTGGCATGGTGGTGGGCATCTGTAATCCCAGCTGAGAGGCTGAGGATGCAGGGAGCAGAGATTGCACCACTGCACTCCAGCCTAAGTGACAGAGATAGACTCCTTCTCCCCCAAAAAAAANGAGACAGCAAGGGGAGAGATGCCAGATGTAGGTGATGGGGAGGAAGGCAGCAAATCACACTGCCACGTGTGTACCTATGCAACAATCTTGCGTGTTCTTCACATGTACCCCAAAACCTAAAATGCAATAAAATAAATAAATGGGAAAAAAAAAAGACTCTACAGAGGTTCAAAAGACCATTCTCTACATTTCTCAAAATATTTCATACATGTTTCTAGAAATGGAGAGAAAGCATAAAGTAAGAGGTGTTCTGAAGAAAGAGAAGTCGGTAAATATCAAATTACAGTAGTTCAGGTGAGGTTGATCTGTAAACAGAGATAATGACAGGCATGAGTGATCTCATGAGGATGGTTAATTATGAGTTTTCCAGAATAATTGCAATTGCATCATGTTGTTAGTAAATAGTACATTCTACAAAGTAGAAATCCTTGACCAAAATAAAATTTAAAATAGAAGCTATCAACCAAAAGTTACCTTTTTAAAAAAGTAATTGCCTGGAGATATTAAATGACACCTCTAACTCCTGGATAAAAGAGAAATTAAAACTGAATTTATAGATTATTTAGAAAAGCAACAATGATAACTCTCCTTATCAAAACTTTTAGGAGATAGCTAAAGCCATATTCAGAGAAAAATTCAAAGCTGTAAAAAACAGGAAAATGTGAAAATTGATCAATTATCTCAAGAAACAACAAAAAAATTCTCACAAAAGTAGAGCCAATGAATGTTCTAAGTATTACACTAAAATCAGAAACCAGAACGGAAAACATTGACAGCTTTGACACAAAACTTATTTTTAAACTCTAGAGCAAAATATGCCATATATAAAAACAAAATACAAATGACAAACTGGGAAACAGAAACATGCAACATATGGAAAAATACAATACACTGAATATGTACAAATACCTAAATCAATAAAAATGAACAAACACTTCAATAGAAAAATAAATGGGGATTAAACCGAAAATTTCCCAGAACTGAAGCTAAGACGCAATCACGCAGATGAAAAGATAGTTAACTTCACTAGCAGCCAAAGAAATGTAAACGCAAACAATATATTTTTTAATTTATGAGGCTAAGAAAAATTTAGAGGAGAGATTCCACCCAGAGCTGGCATAAGAAGGAGAAAATTGGCACTCTCCTCTGCTGTTGGTAGAAATGTAAACTGATGCAAATTTTATTTTGGAAGGTTGATTTTGACAATATGCCTTAAAATTTAAAGCTTGCATATTAACTAGTTCAAGATAGTGGTCTAAGCAAATGTGTTTATCTCATACCTGTCAAAATCTCATTTAAGTGAAAGAAAATAAATAAAAGAAAGTTCCTTGCCCAATGTAGAAACTATAACTAGAAACCTGCCACCCAAATGAAAGGCCTGATGCACGGCTGAGCACCACTCCCTGCAAGGGTTTCTAGGAGAAACTCCAAGTTCACAGTGAGTTGGAGTTGGAGTGAGTTATGAAATAAGATAAATAATTGTACTGTTTGCATACAGAATACCTGATTGAGACATTTGCTTCCTAGTTTAATATAATGAGAATAAATTTCAAAATGAATTGGAAGACCAATGGGGACAGTGAGGCTTTGCAACTCCACAGCAGACACAAAGGAAAAAAGGAAGTGAGGAAAAAAAAAAACATGCTGCACGAAATATACTATACACTCTGTCTCCACGTTAATGTCTTACTACAGCAAATGAAAGGCCTGAGCTTAACCGGCCTTTATACACCTGTGCAATCTGCACTACTCTGAAAGGAATCCTGTCTGTCCCCACATTCCTGCCCACCTTCCTCTAGAATCCTGTCTCCCCTCCTGTTTGTGAGAAAAGCTATCATGGAACAGACCTTCAGAATTGGAGGCACTCCAGGCCAGCTTGCGTACTGCACAATCTCATCTGTCATTGAAATGTATGTACAAACAACCTAGAGTCTCCAGACGCTCAAAACAAAACAAGAGCATAAAGAAAACATTTAAGATAAATAAGCAGAGCAACCCCCTCTAGAAGAAAGAAATATTTCAGGAAGAGGAGAGACCTAAAAAATTCTAATTATTGTCCTCAGAACCTACAAAAGACACAAGCTGCTACCCCCAAAAAAAAAAAAGACAAAAAGATGGCTCTACCATGAAATACAACTGAACTATATGAAATTATCTTTTTTAAAAGTCAAAACCAGTCAAATATTGGCAATTTCATGTCTCCATCTTAGGTATACAACCTCAGTCACTTCACCTTAACAAGTAGAAAAATCATTTCATTGCAGATTCGATGGCTGACACGTGCCATTTACTTATGAAGTTTGTCCTTTACTTCATCATTGTTAGTATCTTCTGCAATTCCTCCCAGGCCAACTTAAAAAAAAACCCTAACTAACTTCCAAGCGCTAATTTTGCCAACTTTTAAATAAACGTTTTGCAATTTTACCCCGCAATGCCCAAGTGAACACCACTACACAAAAACCAGTAATCACTTTAAAAACAAGAATTCAGTAAGTTTATGTCTCGAGTTCCTATAATAAACTAAACCTTGACGGGAGCAATGGACTTACACTTTTTCTAGCACGATTCCTTTTGCATGAGAAGCACCTCCAAAAGGGTTGGCCTTCAGGGCTGTGCCCAAATGGGCTTTCTTGTACTGTTTATCATGCCACTTCTGGTCTCGTCGGTGGCTACGGAGCTTTCTAGCAGTACGAAGTCCACGACACTTGCCTAAAAATTAAAATATTTTAGTTCTTCCGCAAAAACACGCCATCTACGTGTTTCATATCTTTTTAAACACTCGCCTCATCTGGAATAAACCCTTAAACTGACTGGCTCTGGTATACTGACTCGTGGGCCAAACAATTGGCCTTTCCCTGAACCGGCTAATAAACGTTCAAAGAGGGCTCTGGAGGGTGTGCTCTCCTAAAGGACGAGGCCCCGCTCGAGTGCTCGGGAGAACCGCCGGTCTCCCCGCGTCCGTCTGTACCCCGACCTCGGCGGCAGAAGCGCCGCATGGGCCCTTTCCGCGTCCGACCATGTGTCTCCTGGAGCCGCGCTTCCCCGGCCTTCTCCCAGCCCTCCCGCATGGAGCCTCTCCGTGGCATCCCGCTCCCTACTCTATTCGCTTCCGGCTGCCTGTTCCCAAGACCCCAAGTCCCGCTTACGGCGCCCTCAGATGGGCCCGGACAGCTCACCCATCCTGCCGGCGTCACGGGCCTGAGCGAAAGAGAGAAGCAGCGCCGGAAGGAGCCACAAGCCACCGCGAGCAAGCCCCGCCCAGCCAAGGACCCCGAGCCGCGGCCTGCGTCGCGCCTGACCCGAGGCTGGAGTCTCTCCTTTGAAAACGACGAGTTTGCATCACTTTCCTGAGCCAGAATCTGCGTTTTATTTAATTTGTATGAAATTCAGAGATATCTAATTTACATTGTTTTTTCCCTGTTTTTCACGTGAATGCTGGAGACGGGAGGAAAGTGGACTACCAATCCCAGAATGCTTTGCATGGGACCCACTCATCACGCAGGCGCCCTTGCCAAAGGCACGGCGCGTGGGGTGCCGGGCGCGCGGCGCCGGGATATGCTAGTCGGAGTTAGGTCTGAGAAGAGGGAGGTCACTGAGCTGAATCTTTGTGGCGTGGAATGGAGTGGGGCGGGGGTCCGCTGAGTAGGATGGAAATTTAGACTTCTGAGCCTTAATTCATACTCAGAAGCAACATAGTAAATTGTAAAATGTAGTGAAGCAATGTAGTGTAGTAACTGAAACCCCAAGCTTTGGAGCCAGACTGCCTCTAACTCTAAAGCTGCCATTTATTTTGACTGGTGTGCGACCTTGAGCGAGTCATTTAATTACTTTTTTTTTTTTTGGAAAAAGGGTCTCACAGTCACCCAGGCTGGAGTGCAGTGGTGCGATCACGGCTCACTACAACTTCTGCCTCCCGGGTTCAAGCGATTGTCCCACCTCAGCCTCCTGAGTAGCTGGGATTACAGGTGTCCACCACCTGACTAATTTTTGTATTTTCAGTAGAGACGGAGTTTCGCCATGGTAGCCAGGCTGGTCTCGAACTCTTGACCTCAAGTGATTCACTCTCCTTGGCCTCCCAGAGTGCTGGGATTACAGACGTATGCCACCGCGCTCGGCCATTTAATTAACTCTTATACTCAGTTTCTCCTGTAAGATGAACTAGCTATGAGAGGTTTCTGGGATATTGGTTCACTCAGCAAGGATTTAAAAATATGCATAGATATATGTGCTAAATGCTGTTGTAGGTACTGGGAATATGACGGTTAAATTAATAGGGTAAAAGTTTCTGTTCTGATAGAGTTTATTTTCTAAGTATGAGAGGACAGATTAGATAGATAGATGTAAATTAAATAATTTTAAAAATACTGTAAAGCTATGGAGAAAATATAGCTGGATGGGTAATAGTGACTTGGGGATGAGGGTGGCTACTCTGGATGGGGTAGTTTAAGGAGACATCTCTGTGGAGATGTAGAATGAGCTAGTGCTTTTTTTTTTTTTTCTTATCTTGAGACAGAGTCTTGCTTTTTCGACCCAGGTGGAGTGCAGTGGCACAACCTCTGCCTCCCCAGTTCAAGCAATTCTGCCTCAGCTTATTCAGTAGCTGGGATTACAGGCGCCTGCCACCATGCCCAGCTAATTTTTGTATTTTTAGAGATGGGGGTTTCACCATCTTGGTCAGGCTGGTCTTGAACTCCTGACTTTGTGATCCATCCGCCTCAGCCTCCCAACGTGGGATTACCGCTGTGAGCCACTGCACGCATCTGGATTAGTGCTTTTTAAGAACTGAAAGATCACTGAAGAAGAGGAGCATAACTGAGGAGCAGTATGGCACTAGATAGGGTCTGAGAGTTACACAGCGACATGTGGAGCCTGTAGCCCATGGTAAAACCCTTTTCTACTCTTCTGGTGATTTAAGGCCATAGTAAAATTTTGAGCATGTGAGTAGGTATCAAAATGGGATTTGTATTTTTATGAGATTACTCTGGCTGTTGAGAGGAGAAAAAGACATGAATCTGGGAGGCCACCTGGGAAGGTATTGCAATAGCTCAGATGAGAGATGGTGGTAGCTTGGACCCTCAGTGGAGATGGTAAAAAGTGGTTGGGTCAGATATACTGTTTGGTGGTAGAATGAATAGAATTTGCTCAGTACTGTAGGATGCGAGAGAGGAGTTAATTAGAGCACTGTGATTTTTGACCTGAGCACTTGGTTGAGTTGTGGAGTTGGGAGTTGGGTGAGTTGCAGAGTGGGAAATACTAGGAGAGGAGCAAATTTCAAAGGAGGAAATGAAGAGTTCTGCTCTGGATGTGTTAAGTTTGAGCTGTCAAACATTCAGGGATGTGAAAGGGACAGTTGGATATATGATACGAAGTTCAGGAGTCATCGATGAATAAATAGTATTAAAAACTCTGGCTCTGACTGAGATAGCTTAGGCCATGACTGTACAGTCCTGAACATACCAAAGTTTAGTGGTACAGAAGAGAAGGCAGGTGAAGCAAAATAGATGAAGAAAGAGTGGCCAGTGTTACATTCTGTTCAAAGCCAAGTGAAGAAAGGAGTGAAGAAGTATGAAAAGAGGTAAGATGACTGAGAATTGTCTTCTGGACTTGACAGTGTGGAGGTTACTGGTCACTTTGTCAAAAACGGATTCCATGGAGTATTGAAAGTGAAAGGCTGATGGGAGTGGAGTGAAGAGAATATGGGAGGGAAGGCAGTCTAGACAGCAAATATAGACAATTTTTCAAGGCATTTTTATTATGTGCAGAGAAATAGGACCACATTTGGAGGGGGAATATGGAATTAGGAGGATTATATTTATTTTATTTTATTTATTTTTGAGATGGAGTTTTGCTCTCGTTACCCAGGCAGGAGTGCAATGGCACTATCTTGGCTTACTGCAACCTCTGCCTCCTGGGTTCAAGCGATTCTCCTGTTTCAGCCTCCCTAGTAGCTGGGATTACAGGCATGCGTATTTTAGTAGAGACGGGGTTTCTCCGTGTTGGCCAGGCTGGTCTTGAACTCCTGACCTCAGGTGATCCACCTGCCTCAGCCTTCCAAGTGCTGGGATTACAGGTGTAAGCCACCACAACCAGTGAGGGTTTTATTTTTAAGATGACAACTTTTATGACATTTTTGTATGCTGATCAGATTGAGAAAATTAAAAATGGGCTATTCAGCAGAGAAAGGGGAGAATTGCAGGAGCAGGTCCTTGAGTGGACTAGAAGGGTGCCCAAGTGGAGGAGTTGACTGTAGGAACAATAACAGTTTATGTACAGTAATAGAGTGATGGGTACAGCAGCAAGTAAGTTGGAAGATTTGATGGTAGGAGGTTGTGGAGCTTCTCTTCTGACTTATTTTTTCAATGAAATGAAAAGCAAGGCCATCAGTGAAAAGAAAGAGTGGGAGAAAAAGGGTAAGATGTGAAATCATCATCAACAATAACAATGCAGGCATTAGATAGTACTTACTATGTGTCAGATGCTATTTTCGGTTTATATGTATTAACTCATTTTATTTTCATAAGGAATTTTACTGAGGGATAGATAAAGAGAATTTTACTGAGGGATAGATATGCAGAAACTGAGGCTTTGGTGAGTTTAACTTGCCCAAGGTCACATATTTAGTAAGTGGTAAAACTAAGATTTTAACCCAGGTAATCTGGTTTTAGAATCTTATATTTGACCCCTATATTATACTGCCTCCTAATCTAGAATGGTAGGAAAATGCATTGACAAGAAAATAGGGTTGTTGAGCAGTTCTGAGAGCCCATCTGAAATCTGTGTTTACGAAGTGACATCAGTGATTTATGTGTATTTCTTCAGATTCATTCAGTGAAATAACTGAAGAGGTGAGGAGGTGGATTTAAATGGATGGATTTAAATCTGACTAATCTAGTCAGATAAGTATGATGGAGGGAGGGCAAAGGAATTAGTATTTTCAGGAAAAGAATTACAGTGATGAAAAATGAAATCAAAGCTGGAGGAATAAAGGGTCACGAATAGCCAGAACGCTTCCAGAGAAGGACTAGCCCTACCAGATATGGGAAATTTTATGCAACTAAGAGAATACAACAAAGAGAGTACAATATTGGCACAAAGTAGACAAATTGCTGAATGGAACAGTCACGGAATGAATAAGTCCCAGCAAGAGATTCATATGAGTATAGAATATTATTAAATGACAAAAGTAGATGTCAGATCAATGGGTAAAGGAGGGACTTTCAAAAAGATAGAGCTAGAAGTCCTAGCCAGAGCAATTAGGTAAGAAAGAAAAGGCATTCAGTTTGGAAAGGAAGAAATTAAATTGTATTTCTTTGCACATGACGTGATCCTGTGTATAGAAAACACTATTAAGACTCCATCAAAACTTGTTAGAACTAGTGAATGAATTAGCATAATAAATAAAATATATGTAAAAAACTAATGAATGAATTAACTAAAGCTGCAGTATGTAAAATCAATATACAAAAATCTGTAGTGTTTCTATACATTAACAACTATCTTAAAAAGAAATCAAGAAAACAATCCCATTTACAATAGCTACTAAAAGAAAAATAAAATACTTAGGAATAAGTTTAAGAAGGTGAAAGGTCTGCATTCTGAAAACTCTAAAACATTGATGACAGAAATTGAAGAGGACACATGCAAATGGAAAAACATTTTATGTTCACAGATTGGAAGAATTAATTATTAAGGCTGTCTATACATTCGAAATGGTTTACAGATTCAATGCAATGTTTATGAAAATCTCCCTGAGATAGGAGAAATTCAAGAGCCTGAGGTAGGAGAATCTTATATATGGAATCTAAAAATTTTGAACTGATAGAAGCAGTGAGTAGTAATGGTGGGCATGGGAGTTTGGGGGATTTGGGGAGATGTTGGTCAAAGTGAAGGAATGTGTTCTCTTTCCGGGTCCACAAGGGGCCGTAGCTTTAAGGGCAAGAACTTCCCAGCACCATGCCCCCCTTGCATCTTTCTCCATCTGGGAGATTTAATGGTCTCTGTTTTAATTTTTGAGGGCACGGGGAAGGGTCAAAAGTCAATCACTCCAGCGGAAGTTCCAAGGAACTCTTTCCTTGGCCAGAGGTCTTGGAGAAGGTGGGGGTTCCTCCTAGGTTAAAAGTCCCCTTTTTCCACACTTCTTTGGACTCCATGTTTGGGTCCCCTTCCACAAATATTCCCTTCGTGGAAGCTGTCTTTCTCTCTCCTGGATTTCCCCTCTGGAGTTCCCTTCCACACTCTCTCGTGGAAGCCTGTCTTCCCCTCCTAAACCCCATCTCTCTCTATTCCCTTCCACTCATTGTGGAAGCTGCTTTCCTCTCCTGGATTCCATCTGTCTGGATTCTCTCACTCACTGTTGAGAGTTAGCTATTTCTTTCTCCTCCTTTTTTTCTCTCTACCTAAATAAACTACTTTCTACAAACACTTTTGAGTCTGGCATTTACTGCGCACTGCGCTGTGGTCTCCTCTCCTGTTCTTGGGGGGAGTGGTAGACCAAGAACCTGGAGAAATGTCCTTTCAGGGGAACTGAGGGCTTCCCTGAACCCCTGAACTCCAACATTACAAAAGGATACAAAAGTTTAGTTTGACGGGAGGAATAAATTTTCAAGAGACTTGTTGAATAACATGGTGACTCCGCTTTACCCACAAACAATATGAGTTTGAACTGAGCAGGTCCACATATACACAGATTTTCTTCTGCCTCTGACACCCCAAGAAAACAAAAACTCCTCTTCCTCCTCCTCCTCCTGAGCCTACTCAATGTGAAGACTGTGAGGAAGAAGATCTTTATGATGATCCATGTCCATTTAAGGAGTAGTAAATATGTTTTCTTTATAATTTTCTTATTAACATTCAGTTATCTGGCTTAATTTATTGTAGGAATATGTAATGCACGAAACATGAAATATGTGTTAATAGGCTGTTTATGTTATCAGTAAGACTTCCTGTCAACAGTAAGCTATTAGTAGTTACGTTTTTGGAAAGTCAGAAGTTATACACGGATTTTCTACCGTGTGGGGGGTCAGCATCCATAGCCCCCATGTTGTTCAAGGGTCAACTGTATAAATAACAAAGTATAGGACAGATGCTGTGTCTCATGCCTGTAATCCCAGAACTTTGGGAGGCTCAAGTGGGTGGATCACCTGAGGTCAGGAGTTTGACACCAGCCCGACTAACATGATGAAACCCCATCTCTACTAAGAATACAAAAATTAGCTGGGCACAGTGGTGGGTGCCTGTAATCCCAGCTACTCAGGAGGCTGAGGTAGGAGAATCACTTGTACCTGGGAGGTGGAGGTTGCAGTGAGCTGAGATCATGCCAGTGCACTCCAGCCTGAGTGACAAAGCGAGAATCTGCCTTAAAAAAAAAAGACAGCTTTGCGCAGTGGCAGTATCGTAGCCAATGAGGTTTTTCCGAGGCGTGATTATTGCTAATTGAAAACTTTTCCCAATACCCCGCCATGACGACTTGAAATACAGTTGGCATTGGCAATTTTTGACAGTCTCTACGGAGACTGAATTAATTTAAAAAAAGAAAAAAAAAAGACATGAATAGGCATATTATAAAAAAGAAAACATATGACCCATAAATATTTGAAGAGGTCTTCATCATGTCTGTTTATGATGTAAATATTAAACTGTGCTTGAAATTAGTTGGGGGAATACTTCCTCTTTTCTGTTGTCTCTAAGTGTTCATATAAAATTGGGATGATTTGTTTTTTGAAGATTTATTAAAACATCCTGTAAAACCGTTGGGGCCTGGTGTTTTGTTCGTGGTATGATTATTAACCACAGCTTAAATCTCTTTAATAGTTAAAGAAATATTTGTAAAACTGTAGGTTTTTTCTCAGTCAGATCTGGTAAGTCATTCCTCTAGGAATTTATCCATTTCATCTAAGTTTTCAAAATTGTTTCATAGAGCTGTTATTCTATCATGGGTATGTATATGTATGTATGTGTATATACATATATATTACATATTGTGTGTTGGAGACTTCAATTTCTTTAGTAGATGTAGTGCTATTCAGGTTATTTTTTTCTTGAATGAGTTTTGATGGTGTGTGCCTTTCTGAGAATTTGTCCATTTCATCTAAGTTGATTAATTTTTGGCTTGATTCTGTTTGTAATATTCCTTTATGTTTTTAATACCAGTAGATTTATAGTGATGTCTCATCTTTCATTTCCAATATTGGTGATTTGTGACTTCTTTCTTACTCTCTTTCTTGTTTCTTGGTCAGTGTATTAGTCAGGATTCTTAAGAAAAACAGAACCAATAGAATGTATATGCATGCACACACACACGGAGGATTTATTATGAGAATTTGGCTTATGCAATTGTGAGGCGAAGAAGTCCCACGATCTGCTGTCTGCAAGCTGGAGACCAAAGATATCAGTTGTTTAATTCAGTCTGAGTTTGAAGGCCTGAGAACTGGGGCTGCTAACCGTGTAGATCTCAGTCCAAGGGCCAGAGAAGAAGAGATGATGTCAGGGAGGAATAAGGGGCAGATTCCTTCTTCCTCTGCCTTTTCTATTTCAAGCCCTCAATGAACTGATTGGTGCCTACACTGGAGAGGGCAATCTACTGAGTCCCCTGACTCAAACACCATTCTTATCCAGAAACATCTTCACAGATACACCCAGAAATAATGTTGAATCTGGGCCCGCCTAGGGCCAGGCAAGTTGATACATAGAATTAACCATCATAGTCAGCTAGAAGTCTAACAATCTTATTGATCTGTTCAGAGGACCAGCTTTTTGTTTCAATAATTTTGTTATTTATTTATTTTACTTTTTTCTTTACTTTTTGCAGCATAAACTGTCAAGCAATCTATTAGGTTTTTGTTTGTTTTCAATGCCATTGATTTCTGCTCTTTATTATTTACTTTCTTCTGTTTGTTTTGGATTTAAATTTCTTCTCTTTTTTTTTTTTTTTTTTTGGTGAGATCTAAAATGGCTACACAGCAGTCTTCTTTTTTTTTTTTTTTTTTTGATGGAAATACAGCTTAGGTAATTTTTTTTTTTTTAATTCTTTTTTTTGCCTCTCTGGAGAGTGGCTATAAAATGCATCCTTGCTGTGATGGGTTTCCCTGATTGTTATGGATGCTTGCAACATACATTTCATGGGACATCTCTTTATCCTGAGGGATGGATGGCCTGATGCCTAAGTGTCTGACCCATGACCAGGTGTCCCTTTCACAGTAAACTTGTTTTACTGACAGACACCTTTATGGTTCTTTGTTGACCTGTGTCTAGTTTATTTCTACTAAGACAGCCTTTCTCTAGGAGAGCCCTAACCAGGAAAGAAGTCTGGGTGTGTCAGCAGATGAAACACAGAAGAGGCAGCACAGCAAAACACATCAAATAACAGAAGCTTTTTGATTACAGAGCTCAGAAAGAAGAGGGCAGCACACCTTGCAGGGCTGTTTGGGACACACATGCTCAACCAGTGGGTGGGGAGCAAGAGAGAGACAGAGACAGACAACTTGTGGGATTAAAGCCTTTATTGGGGTCCAAAGTATTATCCAAGCAGGTTTCCCATGGGGAGTTTTTATTGGTGGGTTTAAAGCAAGCAGGCATATGTTCTGTGTGGCCATGCTGTGACTGAAAGATGGTCACTGTGACATTTCTGTGTGGTCCCTGTGGGGTGTGGGGGTCAGTGGGGCGCGTCAAGGGGGTTGTATCTAGCTTCCCCATAGGGAGCTGGTCAACCAGAGGTGATTATCAGGGGGCTACCTGGAGCAACCACACTGAGGAACTGGAAAGAGGTAGAGAAATGTAAACTGTGTCAAGTGCGAGTAAGCCCTGCTCTGGCATAAGAAAGTTCAACTTATATTCAGAATTGATGCTGAGGTAACATAACATCATAGAATTGACTCCAGTCATTGATTTGAAACCTTCAGTCTTTTCTAATATATTTAATGCTCTACATATCCCTCTTAGCACTGCTTGAGTTGCATGTCTCAGGTTTTGGTATGTTATGTTAGTTTTTATTCAATTCCAAATGTTTATTAATTTCTCTTTTGACTTCCTTTTTGAATCATAGATTTAGAAGTAATTACTTATTTTCAAATATTTGGGGATTTCCAAATATATGTGAATTTTCTATGCACATTTGAAAAGAAAGTATAATCTGCTGATGTTGGGTGAAACATTCTATAAATGTTAACTAGCCCAAGGTGGTTGATAGTGCTATTCAGGTCTTCTGCATCCTGTATTCAGGATGATAGTGACATTAGTGGAGGGAGGTGAGGATCATATTCGGATGTTGGATTATATTTAGATGTTGGATTATGGCTTGCTTTCAGTAATGAGCTTAATTAATGCTTTTTTAAAAGATGGAGTCTTGCTCTGCAATGCCAGGCTGGAGTGCAGTGGCATGAACTCATCTCACTGCAACCTCTGTCTCCTGGGTTCAAACGATTCCCCTGCCTCAGCCTCCCAAGTAGCTGGGACTACAGATGCCTGCCACCACGCCCGGCTAATTTTTTGTGTTTTTAGTAGAGACAGGGTTTCACCGTGTTAGCCAGGATGGTCTGGATCTCCTGACCTTGTGATCTGCCTACCTTGGCCTCCCAAAGTGCTGGGATTATAGTTGTGAGCCACCACAGCCGGCCTATTACATTTTTATACATTTTAAAAGTCCCACAAATAAGACATGAACCAATGGTCAGTGTGTTATGAGCCAAGGATTATGATTACTGTTTCTCAGAAAAGAAAAAAAAGGGATTTAACTTTTGTTTCTTGGTGCTTTAAATTTTGAATCTTTCACTTTGTGATGAAGAACTTATTACTTAATTTGGAGCCGGAATGGGGAAGGGTCTATCCTTTGATATTGGACTCTAAGTATCCCTAAAAGAGCCCCCCAAGAGTTAGAGGAAAAGAAAGAAGGCCCCAGGGCTGCAGGCTGGTGAGCTGGCAGGAAAGTAGGGAAAGGTGAAGTCAGAGAAGTGGGCAGGGCCAGCGTGTGTCCAAATGGTAGGCTGGGATAAGAGATTGGGGTTTTATTCTGACTGTAATGAGAAACAGTCAGAATAAAACCCCAATACTGGGGGGGCTAAACTAAGAGAGTGACAAGATCAAATCTACATTTTAAAATGCTCGCTGTGCCTGCTATAAAAGAACAGGACACAGGGGCAAGGCCTCAGGTCATTCAAGGAGGGGGCTGCCACAGTAGTCCAGGTGAGAGGGAGTAGGCAATAACTTTGGAGGTAGAGAGATGTCATACTCTTCGGGATATATTTTGGAGTTAGGTCATGAACAAAAGAGCTAAAGAGCGGACATCCTTACTATTACCATCACCACCATCACCTTTTCTCATATGTATTGAGTGTTGTTTTGGTGCCAGACATTGGACTAGTAAGCATTCCATATGCCTAATATCTTTTAATCCTCAAAACAATCCCTATGTGGTAGGTGCTATTAGCCCCATTTTACACAGAGAAAATGGAGACTTAAATAAGTTAACTTGCTTAACTTCTTTGTTGGTTTTTAGATTAGTAATAAGGTAGAATTTTTATTTTAAGTTTAGAAAAAAATTTAACGAATGTGAAGTAAATAAGGCACAAAATAGATGGAAACAGAATAGACAAACACCAGGAAAACTAGAGAGTTGTTAAAAGTATGTTTATTGTAAGTTGCAACCTGCTGTTTTGGGGTTTCTATAGAGTATATGAAAACCAAGAGATGCCGTCACAAAAGAATCTTATTTGGTAGCTCTTGCAATGTGAGAGAAGTGGGAACAGAAAGGAGAACAATTTTCCCTCTTTTCTGTTATCTTCCAAGTAGAAGGAGTTTAATTAATAAACTGGTTTCTATGTCACTTTACTCATTCCATGCCAGGTGAGGATGTGTGACATCTGCAGCACATTTAGAAAGAGTAGTCTGGGCATGTTCAGCTTTTCCTTGGTGAGACCCAACCACAGAGCATGCATTTCCCCCATTTTCTCCTAGGCAGACCTTTTTTTCCCACCAAGAGCCCAGTGCTGCTAGGATAGGCTGCTGTGTCTCTCTTCTGATGGGAGGGCTCAGTTACAATCCATTTTGCTCCTACACTAAGCTTTCCTCCATTCTCTGTCCTGGCCTTGCACGCCAATACAGGTGGCATTTGGGCCTCTGCTTGTCTTACCCTTTTTGCTATTTCTTTTTATTTGGTTTAACATTCAGTTGGGGTAGAAATGCATTTCGATTTGATTTCTCTCAGAAACCCCACTTTCTTCAATTAAGAAGAAAGGTAGGTCTTCATACATTAGATTAGTTGATGAGAAGATTTAGGTCAAGAGTGATCATGATTCTTGATACCACCCTGGGCAGAGCTAGCAATTTTGGTAGAAGAGCCAAAGGTTTTAACAATGTTGACGATTAATACTGGAACATTTAGGGTGGTTGGAAATGGTTCTTAGTACTTTAGTTATAAAAATGGAGGCAGCAGTTGCTATGGAAATGTGACAAGTTAAAATAACAGCTTTAAGTGAGCATGAAGAAGCAGTGAGGGTAAGACTGATGATTACGTGCTCTG